ACAGATCCGCAGTCTGTCGTCAGCTAAGTGGGTTCCTTCTCCATACCGTTACCGTTTTTTTGATTTGCGGATAATCAACTACCACCAAGTCTTGTAGAGGGCCAAGGCGCTTCCCGTTGGAGGATTGGTGCATGGCTGGAGGAAAGCAACCAAATAAGTTAGGACTAACCATTTCAGGGCCCACTGTTTTTCGTCAGTAAATACACGCCTAGGATGTCCTATTTCACATAGGAGTAGATGCAGTTTGCTGTGTCGGGATTTTTAATTCGCTGTAGATTTTCCGTAACGAGACTCTTGCCCATCATTTGGAACTGGTCCTCAGATTACCGACAACGATTAGATGGCCTGCACAGTCAACGGTTGCCTGGAGACACAAGTATTCCCATCTATTGCCCGCCATAGTGCTGAGTGATATTTGAATTCCCATGAAAATTGAATATACCCTCTGTCACCAACTTCTTATTCAATAGATGTGGTGCCCTGGGACACTGATAGCGTCTTTTGCGCGTAGCAAACGAGATGATAGACACACACAACCGTTTGCATTTCATGCTAGTCATGAGCAGTTCTAGGTATTTACGACATTAATGTTGCTGTCCAGTCTTAAGATAGGGGAACTGAATGCCGCAATCTTTCTGAGCGGCTTCTATGGGGTAAAGGGACATGGTGCAATACCAATCAACCGTAGTCGGAGGAGAGTTACCTTCGCCTGGCATCGTTTTCAAATAAACATGCCTGCGATTGCATTTTAAATTATCTTAAGAAAAATAGAGACAGGTCAAAAAGATAAAAATGGTATTGTCGAAACAGTTTTGTTTGGCCACCTCCATCACAAATGCGTTTAAGCTTTTTGTTTTGACATCAGTCGTTACCTGAGGTTAGATACCCACTTATCAATTCAATCTTCTCGTGACATTAGCTCGGTTTCTAATGTAACGTAGAGTAACTATACATAACAGCACCTTCTGCTACTTTCGCGGGACGCTTACGCAGAGTGACAACCTTGATCAAGGATTTGTCAACCGGTATCAATACGAATATTACAAAAGTGATTTTATGCAGCATGTTTATTTAAAAACTGGATTGTCGCGTAATTTCACTCGGCTTTCAATTATTCAAAATGATATTCTATCCATAGGATTCTTCAGGTATGCATTTTCTTTTGCTGTTCGCAATCCCTCAATATTCAGGGAACGTTTTATCCCTGTGGTTGAAGAACTCCGCGGGTTTTGACACAGACAAGTTATTTTTACAATTTTAAAGATCCGCGTTCTTAGTGAAGTACGCCTCGGTCAAGTTGTTTTCCAAGCAAGCAATAAACGATGGTAACCGGATGGAACAAGATCCTCAAAATTTTGGTAATGCGATAAAATTCCCCCAGCAAAACTTGTCGACAATAACTCTGGTAATTTTTGCGACTTGAGGCCGGCGATGTCAGGTTGCTGAATAACACCACTTTTGGGAGTTAGGCCTTTTGTTGAATCGCGCGTTAACTGGAAGACAAAGTTGTTGACTATAAAGCTCTAAATGAATGGCCCGGTATATTCTATGCAGTTCTACTGAATAACTCTCTATCCCAACAGACAACCAGCATCCTCTTGCGAGGATAGAGATTCGGTCTGGCTTTTGAGGCGTCACCTGGCTATCCTTTCCTTTGTTTCATCTTCGGACAAAAACACCACTTTCTATCGCCATCAGTAATAGTCTTTAAAAGTGGTTTGCGCTTTCGACGGGCGGGGCGATGTTGGGCCACTAATGGGACAAACAAACTCGAATAGAATAAGATGCCGAAAACTTTCGCTTTGGTCGACACGATGCTGCATCTTTCTTGAGCCATAAATAATTAAAAGTTAAACCACATTTAAAAAGTATAAACCGTTCCTGCAAGCACTTGACTAGAAGAGCGAAATGACATATGTCATAAATACATCAGACGGACCATAGTATGGTAAAATCTTGAATAATCAAAACGCGCACGAATATATGGAACAACCCAGATGGTCATGTGTGTCATTACCATGCAGCGTTCCGGCGTAGCCCCGAGTTTTTCCAGGAAAATCGCGTGAAATGTGCTGAGCAGGCTGGATGACTAAATGTTTGTGTCCTGATGTTCATGTTACACTGCTTGCTATAAATTCTCACGATCAACGGACAACTTTGGACAATAGTTTACCTTTCTGATCATAGAGACTTTAATGGTTTGACGCGTTTTCCTTCGAATTACTTTGCCTAAAACGCCTTGCCTTTTCGGTCTAATTTTTGTTGACCTCTTATAGTGCAAATGGCGTAGTATGCGTGTGGGACACGAAGACCAACTGGCTGCAGGTTTTCGCTGTGAAGAACAGGCGCGTGGTTGCGACCTAAAAAACACGGGTCGTACTTACTCGGGGTCGACATCTTTTGACCAATTTTCACACACAGATACACGCACACCAGACTGTTTTTATCAGGAAAACTTACGTCCAACTGTTATTGCAGAGCGCGAACACTTCTTGAGCTAAATGGTTCTCGCTAGGAAGCTGTGTCTCTGGTTGCCGATATCCAGGAGCCTGCCCCTAGTAATGTAATGCTTTTATCGTCACCGTCGGCTTGCTTTTGCCAGTAGGTGATTAATTTTGGAAAAGATCAAAACGACTGCTCCCAAACCGCGTTCGCATCACACTTCAAATTTACGCCAGTGCAATTTGGCGGGTCTTAGCTGCAGGGAAGAAACTAATGGTTTTTCACATAAAAGGCAAAAAACGCACAAACGATATATATTTTTCCGTATTAAGCGTTACATCATTGCTTGGAATAAAGGTCTGAAATATAATCGAGCAGAAATATTCTAGCGGAATATTAACCTGCTGTCCGTGTGACCGCGAAATACATAGCTATCATCGTCTAATTAATTTTGTTGTGGTTGATACGTCAAAAGTACGGATTAGATCTAGTCGCGGCGCGCACGTTTTACGCATTTCCAATTTTCCCGCCTTATTTTAAGAGATAGGTGGTTTCCTAATGTAACTTCCATAAACGGATGGGAACAGATGCATTTATTAAAAATGAGAATGGTTTTTATATATTTTTTTTGTTTGAAATTATTGAAATGTAGAAGGACGGCCAAACGAAACTACTTAATTGAAAAATGTCCGACTATATATGCAGCTAGAACGGATGGGAATGGTTCATTTCCGTTGACAGAATCACCTAACGCTCTCTCAACACAGAAATTTGGTGCTTTCCGAAATTCTTCTGGTAAATTTCTGTTTGAACCAGATAAAACCCCTTCTGCACCCAACGTCGTTTCTAGTTCGGCGCCCAGACTACGGACAAGTGAGCAGCAACCCGAAGTCTGGAGGGCCATTCCTTACGTTAAAGTGATCTCTAAAGCGGGCTCGCGACTGTTACAACCCACCAGAGTAGGCATAGCCCATCGACCACAAGCAACATTTCGACGTCGCCTGATGCAACCTAGGGACTCATTGCCACCGATGAAACCTCAGCAGTCATCTACAGAATAAATTGCAATGAGGGCGACTGCAACTATGTGGGCGAAACCGAGCGGAAATTACAAACTAGCCTACAAGAACACAAATCGGCCACTCGGAGGTTAGACCCTAACTCTCAATTAGCAACACAGGTTGGAGAAACGATGCATAGTTTTGACCTCCAGAGGGCTACCGTCTTAGGCCGAGGCAACACAAAAACAGAACGGCTAACTCTCGAGGCGTGATTCTCCGATGTCCACTCTATCAACAGGCATCTGGACCTTCTTGCAGTTTACAAAGTCCTGCGTCATCACAATCGTAGAGCTCAGGACCAAACAACCACACCGGACCTAAGGAGGCCGCACGGGGATAGCCCGACGCTGAGTTTACTCGGTGAGGAAGAGGAGAAACCGCCAGACAGACCGCCCGACTAAAGTCCAATCAGCTCTCCTCGACGGAGTGGTGCCTCACAAAGCACACAGGCAAAACGCCTGTCAACCATCTCCTGAGAGGCTGAGGCAGCGAGAGGAGGGAAAACTCGATCAGCATGAGGCGGCCAACACAACTTGCCACTTTAAATTAAACTTCTGATCGATTAAGTTCATTTTACGCTTTGACAATGAAGAGCCGAATCAGCTCTTTGAAACGTCAGCACTTAAATAAACCTCTTCCGGAGAGCCTATCTTCGTCTTCAAACGAGTGATAACTACAGCCAATTGACCAGAGACAAGGAAGGGGGCTTAGAAAAGCTGGCTTTATTTATAATGACTGAATTCAGTCGAAGAAGAATTTGTTATTAGAAAAAAATCATTCAGATACCATAAGGTAAGTCTAAGGTTAAAGCTTTGGTTGACAATGTCACAACGCCTTGAAAACTGAAAAAGGTGTGAGTAGCATTGCGTCAGCCTACTCCTGATAGTGGTTATTTCAGCTGGCCGCCTGCGTGTTCGTGGCTCAGCCTCCCCTCCCCCCCTTCCGTGGCACCGATCAACTACTTGGCTGTCAGCAATCAGACGAGCTTAGGGATTATGACTTCTGTACCCGCCCAGACCTCACTCCGGCATGTACATTGGCGCAAGCTGACTGTCAGCAGCGCATAGCATTTGCTGACACTGGTCTCCGAGTTATACATGAGCTCTTTAACACGCTGAAGACTGCCTTTTGCGGTGTCTGTGTCCTGTGTTCCTGTCGCCTATCCCACGCGATAACCTGATGACCCTCCCACGCATGCCCAGCCTTTTTCAAATCCGCTGATGCACCAGTTAATGAGAGTGGAGACGCTCCCACCGGAAGTAGAGCTTATTACAGTTCGCGCTCCCATTGGAGTGCGCAAATCTCTCAAATGATCGCTCATCTGATGACTAAACCATCACGTGCCATATTTTTAACCTCTTGGAGCAGATCTCTGATAGTGCAACAGCCCACGGATTTCGCTTTTATTTGTAAAAGGACAGGGCATTCGTTATCCTGAAGCTAACGGCGGCACATGCAGCATATTTCTTCCTCGCGTCCCAAAACGGACGTCACCTGCTAGCATCGCACAACATTTGCTGTCAAGTAGCCAAATGGGTCGACCAGGAGATCAGTGCAGGCAGTTGGCCCAGCAGCTCCACTACGGGCCTCATCATCATCATCATCATCATCATCATCATCATCATCATTATCTTCTTCTTCTTCTTTTTCTTCTTCTTCTTCTTCTTCTTCTTCTTCTTCTTCTGAACCAATAGCAGTGACTAACGGCAGTCAAATGCCCTTTCAGCCCTGACCTGTGTATTTCGGTTGCCAATTATAGCCGCATCGTCACCTTTCGGTCCTGTCCCTTCTCCACCCGACACAAATGTCTTGCGCCTTTGTTTAAGATCTTTGATCCCACTGATGTCTCATATACCACTCTAAGGTGTCAAATTTCCTACAGACTTCATTCTCACAGACTGATGGTGAGATGTGGTTATGTAACCCCACCTGGGGCAAACAGATCCCAGCCACCTGTAATACGGAGTCGGTGGTAATAGGGGTTTGTACAGGTGGGGCCGGGGAACTCACAGGCGACGAGGTCAGATGGTTGTATGCAAAAGAAAAGCTATTAGGAATGAGCAGTTGTACAGTGAGTGGTTGAAAAATAGTTGTCCTAACTCCTAACCCTAACCCCTAGCCAAACCCGTAACCCCAACCCTAACTGTATTGTGTCCATCAGGTGGGCCTATATAACCACATCTTACCCGACTTGATTGCTGGCTTTCAAGTCACCAGAATTTGTTCTTTCTCTAGGACAATCTATAAACTGACCGTGCCTAGCTCGACCAGGCGTATCGATTCGGAAACTCCCCGTCAACTGCTCCTATCTCACCGGTCTTGAGTGCACAATACTGTCTCCCCCCCGTGAGTCTCAGTGAACTGATTTGCAACACAGGCTACAGCAGACGATTGCCCGACAGTGAGAGAGCGCCCAAGCCCCTCTATGGTGCATAAGGTCTACACTGGGCATTTGCATGCCCTCAGCGACGGTCGAATCTTGAACAACCTTACAATACCAGAAGAATATTCTATCTGTTATTTGTATGATTTCACCGGTCCCTTACCATTTCCATCCTCCTCCAGCGCAAGCAGTTTAGGCCGCTCAGTGCTTCTCAAAACTTCTTGAGGGTGACAGACAGCCCTCTGTGGACTAGCTCTTGCCTTGGCCCATAACATCTACTACCTGATTGTCAGCCAGAACGCATAGCAGACGGAAGAAACATCCCATCGAGTTGTTTGGTCGACTTCAGTAATTTCGAGTCCTTTTTAATCTGTTCAAGTGCAGTATCAGTGTCCTCACGTATGATTATATCGGGTACCTAGTTGACTCAGCATGCGTCCAGCCTATTGTATCACAGATCGCTGTCATCCCTAAGTTCACTGGCCATACCTTAGTGTGTCAAATGAAGCGGTTCCTGGGATTGGAGAACTTCTGTCAACGGCGCTGCCACAAGCTTCACCGAGTCTATCGTGTCGCTCTCAGGTCCCTAATCGAGTCTCATTGTTTGTGTGAGCCTTTAACGGACTCCCTCGCTGCCTTCGTCGAAAGAAATGTTTGTCTTGGCAGACGCTAGCAGACAAACTTGCCCCGTTCCTGATATATCATTCCTAAACAAGGCAAATGTCTCTAATTTTGGCATTACCACGGCACGAAAACAACAATTAATTGATATAATTTGAGCTCTAATTTTACTTTAGTAACAAATGTCACTTGCTGGGACCCGATTCAGCACAGTTGTACGCGAGTTCCATTCCATACTTCTAACTTTGAGGCTCCTTTGACAATTGATTGAGAACAGGAATTTCCCCTTTCCGTGGACCACAAGGACCTTGTCTTTGTTCTCCATTCAAACTCTGAAAAACGCAACCATTAGGTTTCGCGCCAACTATACTACATCTCATTATTTAACTACCGATATCCGCCATGCTAAGAGAGAATGGGATTAAGTTACTGGTGTTTTACCCAGATGCTCAAGTGAAGCCCTAATCTCTCTCTCTCTCTCCAAGCGTCGATTTCATCGCTATGGCCGGAGGGCTATTCCGAGCAAAGTTCCTCAGTGATGAGGACATGTCCAGCCGTTTAACTACTGACAGCGTGAACATCGTATGTTGTAGTGGGCAGCCATCATGACCGGTCTGGCGTCATTGTTCAAGACCTCGCTGCCTCAAGGTCATCTATCCTTTTGCAGTGAGCCGTGCCAGACGCGCTGAACTGAAGTCACACGAGCGACAGCTCGGGCATACCTGCGTCCGCACAGCCGCACCGTCCCCTGCAACCACAACCTAAGCCACTTGGACACCATTTGAGCTTGGCCCAAGAGCCTACAAAAGCGGCTGCCACCACGATCTCAGGGACTCTTAGGCATGACTGGACGCAGTCGACACCAGCCCTGGCTTCGCCAGGGGCCACTGTCGCCTGAGAAGACAACTCCGGGTTCTGTGCACAATAAACCCCTCATACTTGTGACTCCTGTCTTCTCCCTACAACTTGGGATCTGGCCTGACGATTATAGTTCACATGCTGCGCACACTCTCACTGCTGTGCCGCTACAATATATCGCCCCCACTTTTTTGCTACCATCTCCCTGCAATGTACAACCTTGTCCAACTGACGGATTCGTTTGGCCTGGCACGCATGAGAACCTGAGGGCGCGCACATGGGCGTATCAAAATGATTACCACAATAAGTTTCAGTGCCAGCAGAAGGCTCAACGAAGAGACTCTACTAATTCTGGGACGGAGTTCAGCTGAAAATTTCGGTCCTCATGTTGCTCTTTACTGGTTGTCTCCAACTTTCCACCTGCGTGTATCAGTTCACGCACTGGTCAGAAGCTATCCCGCTGTTGTTCTCATGCCGTGGCGGTAAGCTGAAAGGGCCTAATTTGCCGGACAAACATATACGGGGACTTGTGAAGGAGGAGGCACGATCGCTGTGACAAGAGCTTTATTCGACAGGCGTTTTGGACTCCTGCTAGAACCCCTCATCAGGGACAGGCAAATAAAGATCTTGTCCCAGCGATTGTGTCTCCTTCTTCATGATCGCTTCCTGGAACTCGTCTCTTTGCCTCTATTGACAATATTCGGTGACTCTTTGTGACTATCACAACTCATTGCGTTATCGATTTGTGCTTCGCATCGCCTGGATTCTCTTCAGCTTAATTGGCTTCGCCTCCAGATCTGCACCATGGCGTATTGCTCAGCTGCAATGAAATGGCTGTTAGGTTTCATTACCAAAAACAGGTGGCTCTGTATGTCGAGGGGAATCAGGAGAAGTGGACCGACTACCGACCCCTGGTCCTGAATGGTATCCATTTGAACAGGAATCATTTTTTAATACTGAATTAAAGTTCGATGCTGTCCTCTAACTTCCAGAAGAGCTAAACCTAAATTACTTTTACGGTGTAGAAGGAGACCTTACCAGGCCCCTGTACCGTGTCCGCCGATTCCTGTGAGGATTTCCAAGTTCCCCTCGCTGCTGCCTATCCCCGTGCCCTATCCGGACAAAGACCTGACGACCTTTTTCCCTAGATGCGACTGAGTGGGTAACCACTCAGACTTCCCTACGACAACCTCTGGCGGGTTGCTCAGAGGTAGATAGTGTATACTGCATCAAGGTTGTCGCTTCGGGCATTACACTGAGAGGGGGATGGAGGCCCCACTTGTTCCCCTTTGCTTCACCCCTCATACAACCAGAAGTGACCAATTCCTCTTCCATTACCATCCGCTCCCCTACCCCACATGTACTCTGACTTCCTTGATTTTCTCTTTGTCCGTTAACCCTCACTCGACCAACCTGTCCATCCAACACATCGGATGTCATGTGCGTTCGCATGGCTGCTTACTTAGTTACGCTTACCAGACACGACTGAAGTTTTTCGGCGGATTGGTAAGCTACACTTCGTCTCGCTGAGAGGTATTTTAGCGGTCTAATCTTGCAGTACTAAACAACCCCGCTTGCCAACACTACCCTTGTTCTGCTGGATACGGCCTTGACATTTAGATACCTACACGGTTGGTGACTCGGGCCCCTCGTAACGCCACTATGGCGCCGATCGGCAGTTTGACTCTCGCTGATTGGATGGGTTTAGTGATTATGGCTTAGGCGCTCGTTCACACCTCGCGCTGTTCCTGCCATTGGCTATAACTGGCTGCAGTTGGTGAAGCTGGCCTCTGGGTTGTTCGGAAATTCTCTGACGCAGCAGAGTCATCGCTGTTCAGAAATTTGCTCTGTAGTCTAGTCCATGTTGACGATTTCACTTGACGACATTTTGCTGCAAGTTGAACCTTGGGACGTTGACTGATAGTGGCGTCAGTTTGTAGTGGTTTTATTAGTCATTAACTATAAATATTTCGAAGGCGCTGACTTATGTGGCTTCGTAAACAGGGCCTGAGAATAGGTACGCCACAGCCAAGTAATGAAGGTGGAATAGCACATAATCCCAGATAGGGCAAAATGTTCTCGTATCCTAACGCTAATAATAAATTGTCACCCCAATCTTGGCCCTAACGCTACCAAAAACCCTAACTACAGTGAGTGACCAATCTCATGAAATGTTGGCTGAAATTCTGAAATGCCTTTTTGATTAGGAAGGATTACTTGATCGCAGATGTAATACTTATTATCTTAAGGCATACTCTTAAAACATTTCGGACTCAGCAGGATGTCGGCTTTAAATGCATGTCTTTTCAATCTCCTGTAGAAAGCGGGCTCGGTAAAAAATGACTTCTTAAGTAGTATGCAATTTTCTCAGTGATTTTCGACGGTCTTGAAAATTTAAATGTATTTTATAGAAACCATAAACAAAATATGCTTTCTCTTAGTCAATCAATAGCGAATCACGTTTACGTTATATTTTATACTTAGGGATGGAGTATAATTAGGTTTTACAAAAGTTTTCTAACTGCCGAATAATTTGGAGCCTGATCATTCGTTGCACTAGCGCTTAGTGATTTCACTCTACAAGGTGCATGCGTTCCGCGTGAAGAAAATCACATATTTTTCTATGCCATTAAAAACATCATACAGAGTCCATAAAATTTTGCAATGAATTTGGACCATGTTGTACATTTCATGAGGAGCAGTGGTAAACAGCCAGGTACGATGCTATGTGAATGGACATTTCGCGGTCTTACAAAGTCTCATAATTAGAAACTTTTTTAAAACCTAATAATGCTCCTTTCTTAAGTATAAAACATAAAGTAGACGTGATTCTCTATTGACTGACTGAAAGAAAGCCGATTTTTGTTTATGTTTTCTATAAAATATATTTGAATTTGCAACACCATCGAAAATCAATGGGAAAAAGGCATGCTACCTAAGTAGTCATTTTTTTACCGAGCACGCTTCCTATAAGAGTTTGAAAAGAGGTGCATTTAAAAGACGACATCCAGCCGAGTCCGAATTGTTATAAGAGTATGCCGCAAGATAATCAGTATTACAACCGCGACCAAGTAATCCTTCCTAATCGAAAAGGCATTTCAGAATTTCAGCCAACATTTCATGAGATCGGTCACTCACTGTATGTAGTTCATATTAACCCCCACCTTAACGCTTAAACTTGATTCCGACTGGCGTTATCGTTAACTTAAAGTGTAGCCTTGAACCTAATCCTTTACCTTACCCTTACCTTAAACTTTGCGCTAACTCTAATTTGGTTGGAAGTTGGCCCACAGCCACCCGATTCCTGTTCTCAGGTCCTGTTTAGATTGCCATATAAGTCAGTCCTTCCTACAGTTCACCCATTATTTTTGCTCTGTAAACTTCACGTATGAAATAATATCTTCAAACTCGTGAACAACTCATTCAGGTACGTACCTGTGACAAAATATCAGACGATCGAGAAAACAGTAGACTACCATACATGTGCAATTGAACATGCAAATGAGACCCCCATTGTTGTTGCTGTTGGTCAAAAACCTGGTCATTTGCTGTGTCGACCGCCAAAGTTTGAGCTCGCCCATGCCATCCACCAGCGCCTTCCTCCGCTTCCGGTCTTCCTGACTCTGCCTTGACACCGGGCCCAGGTGGGGGAGGAGAAGCGGGTGCGGTAAATGTCTACATTCTCTATAAAGTACTCCAGACACAGGTCACCGTCCCTGCTCTCATATCGCTTTGAAGCACACAGTGGACATGGTCGGTAACAACGGTCGAACTGTCGGGAAATGTGGGCTGTCTT